AACATGAACCTTGTGTTGGGGTAAATGTTTTCTTTGTCCAGAATTATCCTATTTTGCAACTTTTCATCAGATATCTCTCCTGGGTACTTACTACTACAAAAAAGTAAATATATGTGGTCATGAGGTCATACGGGGATAATATTTTCATCTAGTTTTACCTGCAGTGTATGGTCTTTGTAGTGCTGCTTACTGTCAGGTTCCAAGTCAAAGTCGAAATCTTATAAACTCAGTTTTACAGTTAGGAAGAAATGAGTTTTGACAAAAAGTGGCCAGCAGATGTGACACTATCGCTGAGAATGACTGACAATTACTTCAGCCTTCCTTTTGCCTACTTATATGAAATGATAGAATACAATCTGCAGAAAAAAATTCATTTAGCCTGACCAGGCCTGCACGTCAGGTCTATTCATATCTTGCCTTAATCTCTAACCAAAACTAAATAACCTGGCCATTTAATCTATCAGCGGTGTCTCACATCATGATTGGGACATTTCGGCCTACTTTTTGGAAACCTTTATGCCCAAAGCCATCCACAGTCTTCAATTTATACCCTAATAGAAGAGCCTATGATTTGAATAGCATTACACGCACAGGGATGTTTCTAAAATAATTACATTTAAGAATTACATAGTAATAAATCCACGTGTTGCATCATCGATTAATTATGGAAACTTTGCGAATCTTCTGTCATGTTCCTGACCCGGTTTCTTCAGGCCCTGGAAAAAAGTAGAACGTTCGAGCGCAGATGCACCTAAAGCGCTGTACTCTGATGTCATCACGTTTTACTCTCGCTCGGCGCTGTGATTGGACACAAGCGTCGAAGGGGCGGGATCTCTCCAGAAGCAGCCAGACCCTCTTGGAACACAGAGGGGACAGTATAAAGGAGCTGCAGGGAGCAGAGGAGGCAGCAAATAAGAATCAGAGCAAAGAAACAAACTTCAGCGGCGCGAACAAGAAAGAAGACGCCTACATCAAACTCTCCAAGACTCTCGCCGCTTATAACTGTAAGTACTTCAAGGATAATAGTAGTAGGCTTTCTTTAGCAGTAGAGCTTATAATTTTTATATGAATTTGAAAAACTGTTGATAGTGCGTATATTTTTTTTTTTGTTTCATATATAATAACATATTACATGTATATATAATTATTTATTTTGTTGATTTCCAGACCACTAACAAAAAACAAATAATTAAATAAAATCATCAGCATGTCTGCAAATGGAGTAGCTGTGGGCATTGACCTGGGCACCACATACTCCTGTGTGGGGGTCTTCCAACACGGAAAAGTGGAAATCATCGCTAATGACCAGGGCAACAGGACCACTCCCAGCTATGTGGCTTTCACCGACACTGAGCGCCTCATCGGAGATGCTGCCAAGAACCAGGTGGCTCTGAACCCCAACAACACAGTGTTTGACGCCAAGAGGCTGATCGGCCGCAGGTTTGATGACTCCACAGTGCAGGCCGACATGAAGCACTGGCCCTTTAAGGTGGTGAGTGACAGTGGTAAACCTAAGCTCAGAGTGGAGTACAAGGGAGAAGACAAGACCTTCAGCCCAGAGGAAATCTCCTCCATGGTTCTGGTGAAGATGAAGGAGGTGGCAGAGGCCTACCTGGGCCACAAGGTGTCCAACGCAGTGATCACAGTCCCAGCCTACTTCAACGACTCCCAGAGACAGGCCACTAAAGACGCAGGTGTGATCGCCGGACTCAACGTTCTGAGAATCATCAATGAGCCTACGGCTGCCGCTATCGCCTACGGCCTGGACAAAGGCCGTTCTGGAGAGCGCAACGTCCTCATCTTTGACCTGGGAGGGGGCACCTTTGACGTGTCCATCCTCACCATCGAAGACGGTGTCTTTGAAGTCAAGGCTACGGCTGGAGACACCCATCTGGGTGGAGAGGACTTTGACAACCGCATGGTCACCCACTTTGTGGAGGAGTTCAAGAGGAAACACAAGAAGGACATTAGCCAGAACAAGAGAGCCCTGAGGAGACTGCGTACAGCGTGTGAAAGGGCTAAGAGGACTCTGTCCTCCAGCTCCCAGGCCAGCATTGAGATAGACTCTCTATTTGAGGGACAGGACTTCTACACCTCCATCACCAGAGCACGCTTTGAGGAGCTATGCTCAGACCTGTTCAGAGGAACGCTGGAGCCTGTGGAGAAAGCCCTGAGAGACGCCAAAATGGACAAAGGACAGATCCATGATGTGGTCCTGGTCGGGGGCTCCACCAGGATCCCTAAAGTCCAGAAACTCCTGCAGGACTTCTTCAATGGCCGCGACCTGAACAAGAGCATTAATCCAGATGAGGCGGTGGCTTATGGGGCTGCCGTTCAAGCTGCTATTCTCTCCGGGGACACTTCAGGGAAGGTCCAGGACCTGCTCCTGCTGGACGTAGCTCCTCTGTCCCTGGGCATCGAGACAGCTGGAGGGGTCATGACGGCCCTGATCAAACGCAACACCACCATTCCCACCAAGCAGACCCAGACCTTCAGCACCTACTCCGACAACCAGCCCGGGGTCCTGATCCAGGTGTACGAAGGGGAGAGAGCTATGACCAAAGACAACAACCTGCTGGGCCGCTTTGAGCTGACGGGGATCCCCCCTGCCCCCCGAGGGGTCCCTCAAATCGAGGTCACTTTTGACATCGACGCCAACGGCATCCTGAACGTGTCGGCGGTGGACAAGAGCACCGGTAAAGAGAACAAGATCACCATCACCAACGATAAAGGCCGACTGAGCAAAGAGGAGATCGAGAAGATGGTCCAGGACGCAGAGAAGTTCAAAGCTGAGGACGAGGCCCAGAGGAACAGGGTCAGTGCCAAGAACGCTCTGGAGGCCTATGTGTTCACTGTGAAAAACAGTGTGCAAGACGAGGCTGTGAGCAACAAACTGAATGAGGATGACCGCAAGAAACTGCTGGACAAGTGTGAGGACACCATGAGCTGGCTGGACAACAACCAACTGGCAGAGGTGGAGGAATACCAGCACAAGCAGAAAGAGCTGGAGAAAGTGTGTAACCCCATCATCAGTAAGCTGTACCAGGGAGCGCCCCCCACAGGCAGCTGCAGAGAGGACGCACAGGGGAGCTCCCAGGGGCCCACCATTGAGGAGGTGGACTAAAGTGACTTGTCACATTCTGAGGACTGGTTAATACTGGACTTTTAAGGATATGTATTGTTAATTTCAGCTGCCTTTTGAGGAGCTTTTGAGATGCATTTATATTTTTTATTGATCTTATTTATTGTATAATATGTAAATATTATTTTATTTTATCTAAGTTAATGAAAATAAATCCATTCATTCCATCTATCAAAACTGATTTTCCTTCATTTGATTAGGTCTATATCCACCAAAACTACACATCAAAATAGTTCTATATTATTTGCAATACAAAAATGAACAATTGAAATGAAAGTTGTAATAGCCTAAATAAAACCTAGAATAGAATATTATTATGAAGGAAAGATCAAAGAGGACCACAAATACTCACAGTAAAAAGAATAGCCTAACAATTAGATCAATATTTATCGTGGGTAGTTTTTCTTTATAATAGTGGGGAACTAGTGGAGCTGTAAAAGTCTAAATAAATAACTTCTATGGCTCATAATAGATGCAAACTAACAACTAAAGCATTTTATTCTGCTATTTATTTATTGCAGCTCAAGTTTATAATGTTGTACGTTTAGATGATAGATTTTTGGGTAATCCTATTTAAGGTTCTTGTATCAGTGGCATAAATTAGCTTCAATAATATCGTTTATCATGTATATGTTGTTCAGCAATATATCACACTTCAAATTTTGTTATTATGACAGACCACTTACACTAACAATGTGAACTATTATATATGCTACTTATGATATAATATAATATAACGTAGGCTTTATTATTATGCAGTTATAACAATGACTGTGTATTATATGAAATAATGAAAGTATAAATGCTGAAGTCTACTTTAAACCTGTGACTGTAAGCAATGAGCAAGAGAGCTGCCATAGCCCATCTTCTCATAATGAAGTCCTCGCCCTGTAAGAACAGGATTTGGTCACTGGAGTTCTGATTATGATATGTCTGTTATCTGTTATTCAAATATAGATCCACTCATCTTCTGCTTACTCTCACCGCACGATGTCGCCATTCTCGCACGGATAGATAGCATGGATCTACGTGTCATTAGATGTATTGGTTTACACACATTCTGTGTCGCGCTGAGATTATTAGTATCAAAGGTTTTAACTACTTGTATTAGCAAAATAAAACTTTACTCGCTACCACAGCAGAAGTGATGATCAAATTATGAAACAAATTATATGTTGTATAGTAATATAGCGTGTGCCTGTATATAGGCAAATGCAGCCAAAATAAATAAATACTATACAAATTGAATTAATAAAGACCAAACGTTCATAGCAGTGGGTGTTTTATTCGTTACTCTTGTACCCAGCCGAGTGATTTTACAGACGGACCAGCTTCCGGTACATTTGTCAACAACATCCACGAGGAGCTCGCGTGGATTTAACTTTCAAAATGGTAATTCAATATTTCCCTGTGATCGACAGGCTACAAGGTTCTGACCAAATATGCCAAAGAAGTTAAGTTTGTGTGTTTGTGTGTATCTGTTCTGTGCAGCCTAAAGCCCAGAAGGCGAAACCGGCAGAGAAAGTAGTGCATCCGTACAGCAGGAAGGCAGCATATCTGGCCCGAGAGGAGCTGCGGCTCAAGAGGAAAGAGAAGTGTGTGCAACTGTGGATTTAAATGGAATTATTTGTTCATCTGTGTATTTAATACAAAAGTGAAAATGCTAAAATGTACACTACCCGCCATTAGATTTGAAACTTGAAACATAAACATGCATTCTTAGTGTTAGCAGGCTCGCCTCTCCAGTGATCTGACTTGGCATGATGGCGCTGCTTATCCCCCTGAAGATAAATACATTTAATCCAATTCCAAGCAAACCAATACAATTTCTGTGGGGACAAGGCTGTGGTCACTTTGCTTATAATTAATTAATTAATTATATTCTGACGGAGTAGTTCAGATACAGAAAGTTAAAGGATAGATCACATTAAATGCAGAGAATAAACTCATAGGTACTAAACCTATGCTTAAATTATACTGCAATGAGAATATTTTATTTTTTTGTAGTCTTTCTAAAGACCAGTAAAATTGAAATCATAAAGCAATATGGTATATGTCCACCCTGACTTTGTCTAACTTAACTGTTCCCTTTTTCGCAGACATAAAAATGATAAAGCTACGCGCCTCAACAATATAGGTAGTTTTATTACCACTGGAACAGTAACATGTGTTCATCATTGAAATCAAATGAATCTTATGACTTTGTTCTTCCCTCAGGAGAAAAGCTGTTGTGGTTTCAGGAACAACTTGATCCCTCAAAGACAAATTACACCAAAAGAGATGCTTGTGACATCATTGAAAGGTAATGGCAGAGTTTAGCACATTGGACACAGTGCTTATAGTTATGTTGTGCTAAAGCAACCGTTATGAGCTTTTAACCATGTTATCCTCATTATTATTAGTTTACTTATAGTTACTTATAGTATCTAGATTGATTTATGCATTATGCATATTTTTTCAATAGCGAGTCAATGGTCCTGTTTCTATTACCAAGACTTTTAAATTATTTTTGAGGTTTACAATGAATAATAAAATGTAAAAAGTATATTAGTTTAGTATTATGAGAAAAATGCATATGTATTCTTTTAAGATATCATGTTACCTTTGCCTGTTCTTCTCTTTATTTAGATACCTGCAAAGATTTGATGCTGAGCTCGAGCAGATAGAGTTGTTAAATGGAATCAAAGGCCGTCAGGGTCGTCTCCATGGAGCCAGAGAAGCAGTGATCAAACAGACCATCGAAAGAGAGCGGGCACAGTTTGAAGGGGTTGGTTTTGGTGAGTAATGTGCATACTGTGTGAAAATGATGTTTTATTAAATATTCTAAGACTCCATATTTGCCACAGAAATTCCAGATATCATGAATACAAAACATCTAAAAACGTTCAGGTGAGTAGATGAATTTTAACTTTTATTAGAGAGTTGGTTATGTTTCTGGATTATTATTTTTGGAAATTTTAATTGTAAATCAACATTTTTGATTGTCCAATCACTCTGCGAAAAAGTTTTTATTATGATTATTCCCACAAACCTACAACAACAAAACAGCCAGTAATATTTTTGATTATAAAGTAATATTCTTGTAACATGTTTTGACAGAGAATGGACTGGTGATTTGAAGAAATTACCAAATATAAAACTACGTAAAATTTCGAACAAAGGACTGGACATAAAATCTGGTGAGCAGGAGAAGAATGAGGAAGAGAAAGAGGAAGAAGAGCAAGATGAAGGGGATAAAAATGCTTTAGAAGAAGAGTTACAAGGAGGTGAGGAGGAGGAGGACTTGGACAACGAGCAGGAGGACATGCCTTTGATGTCAGACTGAGCGACTAGAGATTTTCTGAGATCAACTTTGGAAGTATCTACTGCTATTACCGAACAGACCTGTAGAGGACGCCAAACACAAGGACACAAGAAACTTGACAGACACATGAGCGGCTCCTACGTTCATTTATTTTGCAAATAAACTGAAATGCAAGCCAAGTCTTCGGTTCAGTCCAATATGAAATAAAAAGTGCTTGAATGTAGTTTAAATGAATTAGGAAAAGTTGATTGTGTAGTATTAATATTACAGTTTAAACCTATGTAATATCAGAATTATTTTATTGATATCTAATTTTTCATAGTAAAATTGGCAAGAGACAAATATAGTTGATCTTTTATTAAGACACAGCACCAGATTTGTTTGTTTTGTTGGAATCTGTTGTTCAAAATTAATGAATTTTGTACTTATTTAAGATGTGTTATTTGCCTCTTGAAATAACTATTTTGTGTTTGTTTGCCACTGATCTTTGGTTTGTATAAACCTGATTGTCCACCTGTAAAGCATGTGTATTTTAAACAAAGTGCCTTTGGGACTGAGTTTAAGTGCAACATGTCCATTTCAGGATGCATAAGTATTAAATTAAATTTAAAGAGCCTATGTGAAAATGACAATGCACAATCTACAATTCCTTCTAATAAACACTGTAACAGCACCGTCTGTGACAACGTGAAACCAGAACACATGTATTTATAACTGTTTGTCTTGGCAATAAACAGCCATCACATATGGCCTCATGATTACAAAACTGCAAGTGTGTCATCAATGACAGCAGTGTGTTAGTTTGACTATGGTTTAAATGGACAATTACAATCAAATAATTCCAAACTAGTGCTTCATACAGAAAGTGTGAACAAGATGTTAGGACTACAAAAACAAGTATGACAGAGGCTCTGGAGTGTCTAAACTTCCCTGTGTGCAATAGTGTACCAATACTCCCTTTTTCAACAGTACTGCCAAGAGTGTCGATGCATTTTACATCGTGCATACAAAAATAGGTTTCACCAAATAGTGAAACAGTAAAACTTCACAGCAGTCTTAAGAAGATGGCTTTAGGATCCTTTTTCATTATTTCCCTCTGAGTTTGTATTCTGCAGAAATTCTATGTGTTCGACAGATCTCAGTTGTGCAAATGAGTGTAAAACAGTCAGACAGGGCTGTGTGCAGGAGCCACAGCAGCTTCCACAGACATGTCCGAGTCTGGGTGATCCTGTGTGGGGACAGGTACAGGGATGACAGGTGCCGGGCTGACAGGTGCTGAGCTGACAGGTTCCGGGCTGACAGGGACCTCCACACTGTGAGTGCTGTGGTGAGACCTGCGGGCCTGGGGGTTGTGCAGCTCCTTGTCAGGGCAGTTCTGTACTGTGATGATGCGGTTGAAGGCTTTGAGTCGGTGCCACAGCTGTAGGTACACTTTACTCTGGATATACATGAAGATGAGTCCTCCAGTAAAGCCTATGGCCACCACGATAAGCTTAGTCCAGAAGGGCCACTCCAGCACACCTAGTACACACATGCACACAAAGAACACAGAGGACAAAGGTCACTCTCAAAACATGAGAGAAGAGGCATGAGGGCTTTACTGAACTGGGCTTACCCCCGGACTCGTAGTACTTCGTAAGAGAAAGTCTCCATAATTCGTCTGCAATCAAGAGTGGGCGGAATCTCTCTTTATAATTGTACATTATGTCATTTTAATGCTATTCTGATGGGTTCAAATACAGTACATATGAGTGAATATGTACTTAGGTTTCTACTAGGAGATCTACAATAATGGAACATTAAGGTCACAACACAGTTAGGGATGGGGTTTAAGACCTGCTTCAAATCACTTATAAAACCATTACTTAGAACTATTCCCTAGAAAACAAGTTGTCCTTTACCAAGTCTGTACCTTATTAACTGTAAAGTATTCTTTTTGTTAAAAGAAAAGAATCCTTTCTGGAAAAGTTGAGTGGAAGTCACTGAAACATGTAAAGCAGGTAAACTAACTCGTGTCTCACAAAAAGAATAGGGTAATGGGTAATAATAGGGTAAGATAGGCCTGGATTGAAGTATGGCATATATTATATTTTTGTTCAAATTATACATTTCCACCATCATTGTTGATAGAACAAATAAGAACAAATCAGACTAAACTCAGAACTGCCTATACACTACAACAATTATTGAAAATTGTATTGAAGTTGATGACATCTCCCCCATCCTTAAGCTTACAACACAACATAATGAGCATAGATCTACTCATGGGTTTCAGGCAATAAAAACAGAACCATTGCCATAGCTTGAAACCCATGGCTAATAGGACGCAGTGTAGGGACAATAGAAAGGAGAACCACAAATCTATGTACTTTAGATACATATAACTAAGAGTGCAACTCTATAAAACTTTTATCTGTACTGGTAAATTACTAAAAACCAGTTTGCATGTACAGACCATTCTTCCCTATTCGGACCTCCTCTGCTGTTCTCTTGACCAGGATGTAGACTGACCACAGCATGCAGCCGATGGCGATGAGGTGGAACAGGACGGAGCAGAAGATCTTTCTCCTTTCACTTTTGGACATGTGGAGCTTCTCCCACTACGAAACAGACACTCCTGAGACAGGTTACTAACACAATCTGATAATAGCTAGAATGAAGAACAGCTAAAGGGAACTAGATATAGAATTGGTAATCTTATAAAAAATGTTGTCACTGACTTTTACATACATTCACTACATACATTTAAGACATCATTTCACAACCTATATTGTAAATATGCATAAACATGATCACAACAACTCCAATGGATTGCTGCAGATCACGCTAGCAACACTGACGAATCCCAGGCGTATCACTGATTAAGAAAATAAAATTGAGAACTGAGTAGTGGGCGTATGCCAACGGCTGTGAACACGGGAGTTGATCGGCAATATGGTGTCTTGAAAAAAAGCGATTAAAGACTGCTCAAACATGCACAAATGATGAATCACTCCAAAAATATGCTTTAGAAATCAGAAACCTACAAATAACTGGTTGATTGATTTGGCAAAATCATTATATAAAAGATGAAGATTGGACCATACTTCATACATTTCCTGTTGTACTAACATCTTATTTGTTTAATTTCCTGCCTAGTGACTACGGATGTAAATTAGCTTGGTAGATGCAATCTGAGATATTTATTATTTGTTCAATAAAGATATAAAAGATTTTTTACTTGGAGTGAAGGAAGGTACATGCACAGCCGATATCGTGCATGTTAACTGTGTAATCATAAAATCATACTATTACTACTAGTACTGCATATTTTTGGTGTTGCTGACCTTGCGTAGAGGTTTGAGCCTGGTCTCCATGATGAAGTCAAACTTGCAGAGCTCACAGCAGCGTGTGTCTGAGGACTTGATCCACTGGTTGAGGCAGGTCTGATGGACAAAACTGAGGCTCCCTGTGCATCGGCAGGGCATGATGAGGGGACAGTCGTCATCTCCCTCACAGTGACAGATCCTGGTCCAAACACACAAGAGAATATATATGCTAGTGCAGTTGGCTAAAGATATCTGATTATCTTATATGATTTGGAATGTCTGAGAAACACAGATGGACTCAGATTTATGTCTTTTTAATGGGATGATGGTGGAAGGTCTGAAGAAATTATATTATTATAGCAATTGTTGTTTTGCAAATCAGACAAAAAATAAAAGAGAATATTGAGTACATAGTCTAAACTAAATTAATAAATAAATGCATTTTTTATTTTTTTAAAATAAAGTTATATCTCTCAATTTTCTTGTCAATATTACTTTTTACTTTGTTGCTAAAGCTACAGCATGCCAACATCAACGAATGCATATACCAACATCTTTTTGCAAAAATATCAGATTACTATCATTGCGATAACCCAAAAATATGGGCAGAGACAAGATGCAAATCATTTATATCATAAATACAAGAAAATACTGTTAACAGATTCAGATTTCCCTGTGTAACCCTTTTGCAATGTGTTCTGCAGAGCATGTGTGTGCCTTTAGTGCATCATCACAACACAGAGATCATTCTACACTCCTATCCATGGGTTTCAAAGTGATAAATATTAGAACCATTTCCACAGTGAAAACAGATTATCATATCTTTTGAATGGGAAAAAGTCCTCAAAATGTTGCATAAGATAGGAAGCTGAAACCCATGAATACTGACCTGCAGACCTCTGTCTCGGAGTCAGAGCATGGGTGCAGCATGGTGACCCCGTTGCCCGTGCAGTGGGCCTGAGGAACGGGCACTGACATGTCCCCACCCCCTGCACCCCTCTCTTGATAGCGTTTGGTGATGAGCTCCTCTGGCCCCTCCTCCTCAGTGGACGGCGTACTGGTGTTGGACTTCTCCTCGTGGTCTTTACTCACAGTGGTCTCCCTCACCTCTGATGCCTCGTCTCTAGATATGTCTTGTTTCACTGACGCCTTGCTCCCGTGACGCCTCTTCAGACCTCCACTGCTCTCCTCTTTCATCTCCTCTTTGTTCTCTTTCTCCTCTTCTGAACTTATAGACTGCAGCTCCATCTCTTCCACTTTGTTCTCAAATGTTTGGACTGCGTCTCTCTCCCGGCTGCGTCTCCGAGCCCTCCTGGCCTTCTCCTTGCTCCAGCTGCGTGCCTGTCTCCATGCGTCTTCGTCTGAGGTGGAGTCGGTCTCGGGGGCGCCGGAGCAGCGGAGGCGAGGGGCTAGGTCCTTCCTGGTTTTGGCTGGCCGCTCCCTCTTCTCTCCCCTGTCGCTGCGGTCCGAGCTCAGGCTGCGCTCGGTCAGGTCCTGGTTAGAGGTATGTTCCACGCAGGTGAGGGAGGGGCAGGTGGGGGCTTTGCGTCGGTGGCGTCGCTTCACCTGTTTTTTGGGAGGCGGCGCGGTGCAGGGGGAGACAGGTGCGTTGGCTACTGTCATTGTAGAGGAGCTTGTGTGCTTCTCCGAGTTCTGTGCCTCAGACTCATCCTCTTCTAAACGGGACAGGGGGGCAGAACTGAACACACATGCACAGGACAGATGGGAACAGAAATGTGTGAGTATATGAGATGGGAAGGAAACTAAAATAAATAAATACAAATAAATAAATGTTAAAATGTTAAAGGGCCAATATTATGCTATATTTTCTGATCTGCTGTAATGTTGTTTTCTCATCACAAACATACATTGTGTTTTTCTTTCAAACAGAAAACATTCGGCTAGACCTTTTGATGCCATGTGATAATACAGGAAGTGTTCCACTGTCTTTTTAAACTCCATACACCTAAACTAAAAACATTTGGATAATTCAGCCATGGAATTGCCATGCTCTCCAAAACAAAAGGTAAAAGGTAGCTGTTAACTTGAAAACTACCATTTCATGACATCACAAGGTGGAAGAGCGCATTTACAACTTTAGAGATGCAGTCAGACTAATTATAAAGGGTTATTCAAACATGTGTGAATGAAACAAAACACAACTCCAACTTTTTGATGAGGTAACAACATTATAACATGGCTAAAAGCTAGAAGGAGTCAAAGTTGTGTAATATACTGTAGGACCTTTAAAAAAGAGAAAACGTATGATGGTGTGGATTTAGTTTGGACATGTAATGTCATTTTCAATTGATGGTACTGGTTTGAAATCCCAGTGTCTCCTAACAGTCCCATCAATTGAAAATGGTTCCTAGATTGCCTGACCACCAGCCAGTACCTTCTACATCCTGTCTGGAACTAGATCACAGGGCATGAAAAAACTTCTTCCTATGTTCCAACCACAGCCACTAATTTGTAGCACGTGTTTCTCAAATGTAGAGGACATCCCCTCTCAGATATTCTCATAACATTCAGAACAAAATATATATGTAACTTTTAGCTAAAATAAATAACTAAACTAAATAACTGTTTCTCTGTCCTCTATGTTGTTTTTCCCCATTTTCTACTTGTGAGCAGTCATGTTTGTTTAATCCATCAACGTAGCATGCATCTCTCTGATTGGCTGACTGTCAATCACGCCCTCTGAAATCAGAGAGACAGAATATGGCTTCGGATCCACTCGTCTTTGTAAAGTTTTGACAAAGCGTTTGGTTCTGGCTGGACAGGTAAGCTTCTGGATGGGAGCCGAAACAGGGATTGAAAGAACAGTGTCTAGACGACTACCACCTTCTCTACTTTGTATATAATCTAACTGTTCCAGTCAGGTTCATTTGAAAAACACTGTCAGTGCCGTGACCACTATCAGAGAGCAGTCGAAATTATCAGGTATGACAAATAAATAAACTCTGGTCTAAAAAAAATAATCTTTTTACAATTTAATATATCGACCATGGATTTTTAATATCAAAGGGTTCTTTCATAAAAGCTGTAAGATTGTTTTAGAAAATTATAGTTTCATTTAATTAATTATTCAGAACACATTACATTACATTTCTGCTGTTAAACCTGTCACCATAATTACTATACTGACTTTAATATATGATAAAAAGAGCAAAACATTTTCGGACTCAAAAATTATCGCATGCACTTTTTTAGTATTTTTTTGTAGTATAAGTCTCTATTTAGATTTATTTTATTTTTTATTTAAGCTGTAGTTGGTTGAGTAATTAACATATGACACAACTGGAATAAATTAAATAAGTGTTTAATTGGACAAATTTTTTAACACTATGGTCCACTTAGAAAAACATTGACCGGAATAATCCTGTTTTAGGGATTATTGTGTCAGTGGTATAAAGCAGTTTCATTATTTTTGTTTATCATATTACTTTTTGGTAGCAAATATATCATACTTCAAAATTATGTGTGCAAAAGCTTGCAAAGCTTTTTTTAAAATCAGTTTTCATTATTTCCACATATAGAGGCCCTTGGTCCAGGAATCTAGATGCTATAGAGACAGACACTATTCTTAAACAGGCCATGTGATAAAGCCTGCATTAAGGATACAGCTTTAATGATAGGTCAGGTAAGTTCATCCGGAGTACAGGGAACAGATGGGAGCACGTGGCATGGCAAGTTGGCAACCTGTAGCACCCAAAGTAACGTTAATCCATCCTGGTACTTAACAACTCTTTTGGGATTTTGAGTATAATCCCAGTTGTCCCAGTTTTGTTAAATTTAAAGGTCCTACATTCCACAAAAGTTATTCTTGTGAGCTTTAAGTCATATTGTTGTGAATGTTATTACCTCATCAAAAACATACCCAGAGTTGTGTTTTATTCATTCACACTTGACTGAGTAAATCCTTTATTATTAGATCCTATTAAATACTTATTATTAGTCTGTCTACATATACAAAGCTCAGAATGCTTTGTTCCACCTTGTGATGTTATGAAGCTATAGTTTTTAAGTTAACAGCTACCTTTTACCTTTAGTTCAGCATAGATTGGCAATTCCAGGTCTGAAAATCTAAATTATTTTAAAGTTACATGGAGTTAAAAACACAGTGGAGCTCTTCATGTATTATCACATGACATCACAAGGTAGAACAGAGTGTTTTCTGTATGAGACACTCAGGGTTTGTGTGTTAAACATGTGTGAATGAAACAAAACGCAACTTCACATATGTTTGTGATGAAGAAACAACATTAGAACAGAACAGAAAATAGTGTAACACGGGCCCTTTAAATAATATTAAATCAAAATGACACCACAAACAAGCAAATAAAATGTTTGGTAACTGACTGATGAGATGTATGACACGTCTAATAAAATGCAGGAAGGAGGGATGCATATGTACGGCAAATTTTTCTCCATATTTTTCTCTGTTGAAGGACTGTACAATCAGCCATCTTCCTCCCAGTTATTGAATTACGCTCGGCCCATCACATCTCATCCATTTTCATTGTGCTATGGCTTCAGGATACATTAGAACCAGCTCATTCAGTCGCCCACTCACTCTAAGTATGTCAACAGGGCGCTCATCTGCCCACAGTACAGGGCCAGTGCAAAGTACCACCGGCTTTCACACACCTGCATATGTCCTGAGAAGATGGGGTAACGGAGGTTCTCGAAGCAGTGGTCAGTCCTGTTGAGTTGCTGACCTAAAAAATAAAATGTTTAGGTTTTCATAACGTAGAAAATTGTGTTGAACCACGTGTTTTTCACCTACTTAGAAAATGCTTTTAAAGGTGAATTATGTAACTTTCCAGGTGGAGAGTCTTGCTTAGCCTAGAGTATGGCATTAAAGGTCCTATATTACACAAGATTTATGCCATGTTATAATGTTTTCACCTCATCAGAGACATACCCGGAGCTACGTTTTGTTTCATTCACACATTTGAGTAATCCTGGTTTATTATTATTATTATTATACAGTAAAGTGGAGTACTTCCTGTATTACCACATGACATCACAAGGTATTATTTTTCGTTTGAGAAAATAACCTAAATATTCAGAGTTTGTGTGTATGGAAAAAAAAACACAACCCCAGGTATGTTCCGGATGAGGAAAAAACACTGTAACATAGACCAGAAACTAGAGTAATATGGGCCCTGTTAACATATCTATCTTCACCAGACCAAGTTACGAGTCAGTTCTGTGAGGGCCTAGCCTGATTCATCAGCCGGTTTCACTTCATAGAAACTGTCCGACCTCGCAGCATTAGGATTCGTTCGCTCAACGTTAGGTGTGTACTTTTTTTCATTTAACCAATCGCTGCTATTTGGTCGTGATGTATGTAATGCGCCGCTAACAGGGCTAACTGGTATATTAAGCTTTTCCCAAATCCCGTACGAAGAAGGGCAATAACGTCTTTCCCCTTGATAAAATACACCAAACATTCTCTTTGTTCCAGCCTTAAATCCTTGATCTCGGGAATCGTTGCCAACACAGAATATACGGGTCTTCGCTGATTGGCTGGTGCCTGAACTTGCACTTCAGGGGTTTTTGCGAACCATCTAGTGCAGGCATGTCCAAACTATGGCCCGTGGACCAAATGCGGCCCTCAGACAAATTTTTCTTGGCCCTCAGGCTTCCGGGAGAATTGGCCCAAATTACCTTGCATTAATGAAAAATCTGCTTTTTATTGCAAGTTTTTTGAAAATCTACCTTGAAAAAGCCAATATTTAATATTTAGTGTGGTTTTGAGGATTTTAGCATGAATAAAGACTGATGGCTCATTCTAATGTGTTAAACATGCACATATTTCAATTATTCACTGTAATGAGCACCAGTCTACGGCCCTCTGCTTCGTCTGTGTTTAGATATGTGGCCCTTGATGAAAAAAGTTTGGACACCCTTGATCTAGTGTATTCCGATTCCTGACTTAGTCGCTGGAGAGAAATTAAATTGAGTGGAGGCACTAGGTGGCGCCAGCCTGACTAGTGAGGGTCACCCACAGCAAGATAAATAAGTTCAGTGCCATACTTAAAACTGCAGGTAAAGCACTAATGTATCCATGGAGACAAGTAGGTGGCAGACACTGTACTGGAAATGTTACATAGTACACATTTAAATAGACTGATATTACATATTACATAAATAGTACAGTATATTACATATTACATACATATTACATAAATAGTACAGTAACAGTATAGTAACAGTATAGTAAGTAAGTATAGTATAGTTGGTTTTTCCTTAAGTATAAAATTCTATCAAAGTGTTGGTTTTGAAAATATATACGTAAAAACAACAACAACAACAAAAAAGAAAATATAAAAGTAGGATACTAGGATATTATTGCATAATTGGTCCCATTTCTTTGCTACAGTTTAAAAATTCAAATTTTACAGAATAAAATGTGTGATTCAAAGAGCAGGTCACATGATAGAAAGTCATCTTTGTGTGAAATTCCAAACATAACAAACCTAAAACACATTTTATAGTGCCATATAAAGTTTCACACATTCTGTAGAATTATTTTCTTATAGATGCCAGAAAAAAAAAGGTCCTTGGTAACACTGTGAGGAATTTCTATTGATTTGCCATCACAGCATTAGCACATTAGCTTCTGCTTGGCTAAACAATGGTACCTCTGCTCCACTCTGAACTGTCATATTAACATGGAGCTTTTAGTACAGTGGGATGTTCAGCGGTTGGTTACCTTGGAGATGTTGCTGGATCGACTTCCTGAGCGTCCAGGCGCCTTCTTCCCCTGCAGTGAGGAGAGGGAAGGAGAGGGGGTGGGATAAAGACAGAGAGAGAGAGAAGGAGAAAAAGAGAGAAAGACAGAAAATGAGAGAGAGAAAGAGAAAAAAAAAATGGAGAGAGAACGACACGTCAATCAGCTGGTACAACGAAAGTGGCGCTATGGGAAAAGCACAGGGCGAGTGTCTTTTATGGAAACTACAGCACTACAAAAATGAACACTTAGATAAAGTTAAAATAACCTGAATTTTGTGTATTACTCTTAGTTTGAGAAGAATAGATGTAGACTAGTTAAGACTGATTTACCTGGTGAACCTAGATTCATTACCTTTTCAAGATGGTTCTTTTATTTCAAGACAAAGTATTTGTCAATTGGAAAGGGACATTTTACCCTCAGTAAGTTTTAAGGCAGTTTTATCAGGTACAGACCTTTAAATTAAGGCTAAATATTATTTCCTGTACATTTATATTTATATTTATACAGAAAAATTTACAGTTCAACATCAGTTTCAACATTTATAATCACTGAAATATAAATGAACTTTATAGAATTATAAAAATACATCAAATTTTAAGTCTGGTCTTAGCACCAATGCAGGGTGATAGTAAATTGGATCAGTGAAGTGCTGTTCAATCAGTCTTTAAAAATAAACAATCAAACACAGTGTTAAAACAGACCAATTTTCTTTCTTCTCCAGCATTTGCACAAAGATTCCAACACTCATGCTTTCTTTTTAGATAGAACTAAATATTTACTTGTAAATACTTTACCTCTTCAAGCACAACCAAACCATGCATCATGCAAATTTTCTTTAGGGACAAGATCTTGTGAGACAAAATTATCACAAAATTATCTAGTGAGATTTCTTTTCAATATGTTTACTTTTGAACTGTATAAAAAAGGGTTAAGTGGGGATGAGTTACATCTCTTATAGTTACAAAAAGCAATGCTAGAATGACAACAAATATATATTAGAAACTGTGTCAAAAAGGATGCTCAGGGCTGTCATAATAACAAATTTTGAAGTGATATATCGCTGAAGTATACATAGTAAAAACAACTGAAGTAACAACATGAGCTGCCATAAATACATAACAGAATTCAATAATGAAGTAGTTTGTATCTATAATGAGGCATAAAAGTTCATAATTCAACCATCTACAGCTCAAATCTTATTGTAATACAGAAAAATAACTAATATTTTCCCTCTAGTACAAAAACTACCCATGATAAAAACTGCATTTAAGATGATAAAGTAATTATCTTGCCACGCCTAGTGGTGCTACCTTTACTACTCTTTGTTTCTGAATGGTGGTGGGAGAAGTCACGGAGCTGCTTTTGTACCTGCTCATTGTGGCGTGGGGTGAAGCAGACAATCCCATTAGCCGATAGTTCAAGACAGTGTTCCGTAAGGTGTCTCTAATGTAAAGTCCACTTAAAGCACTTTATTCTGGAGGTTCCTGGAGCAGCACTGATTTAAATGCGTTGCCAACTATCTGTGACCTGGCTGCATCAGGGTTTGTGTGCCAAGAGGTCACCAGCTACTGTTAAGGCCATCAGAGTAAGATTTATACATTACTTTAGGAAACCCACAAACTGGCTTAAACATATAAAGCATATAGTGTGTCTCTATGAAAAGAAGTAGTCACCACTAGAGTACATCATAATCAGTGTTTTCCATAAAATATTATGAATTATAATATATTGTTGCATTGTATGCTTTAAACAACTCAGTCATTATTTATTTATTTGTAAAAAAAATTTTTGGACAGCAGGACACACTTTTTAATTTAGTTCTCTTTTTTTCATCACTATTTCACATTGTAGATTCTCACTGAAGGTAGAAAAAACTGGAATATAGTACACAAAAAATTAAACACAAAATAATAAAAAATTTGTTTTAGATTTTAATAAATAGCCACCTTTTGCTTTGATCACTGCTTTGTACTCTTGGGGTTTCCCTAACGAACCCATAACATGTAAACTGTAAATTGAAAACCATTTCAGGAGACTTCATCATGAAGCTCAATGAGAGATGGCCAAAGGTTTGCATCGCTTTCAATAAAGCAAACATAACAATTTTTTTCTTTGCTACATAATTCCAAACATCATGTTTCATACATGTGATGTCTTCTGTATGTATCTAAAATGTAGAAAGTAGTAAACATAAAAGAAAAAAAGCTTTGAATTTGAAGCAGCATCCAAACTTTTGACTGGTACTGTACAATGCCACAATTGCTGTAGACTCGGCAGGCTTCATGGGGTTTGGAGCCAAAATGAGGCCTTCTAGAGCTCCCATCTGAAAAGTCACATGACCTTTCTGAAGGAGGTTTCAGAAGGTATCTGAAACATGTCAGAGTATGTTTAAACAGCACACTGGTTTGTATATATATTGAAAATAATAATGAAAGACTGAAGATAGTTTGTTCCTTTTGTGATGTAGTTACTGGCCACTTTGCTCTAGTTTGACAGAATATACCGTGATGTATCAGTGTGGGAGTTGACAGTAGGGCTGTAGTCGACTACAGAAATTCTTGGTTGACTGAAGACAGAAGTTCAATCAAATAGTCGACTAAAAAAGGGGTGTGGCAAAAGCTCTCAAAACTATTACTATTATTTTATATATCTGACTGAAACTGCATTCACAAGACTACACCTGCACAAGAGCAAAAACAACTGTTTATGCAGGAAAAAAGTACTAGGAAGCAATGTATTTATATAAAGTAAGATTAAACTTGTGCATCCTGAGTTTAATCTGCTTTCCTGCTTTTTTACATATAAAAACCCAAAAATTACAAATCTTCAGCTACAGCCCTGGTGTACCGAGAACTTCTGTGTCAGTAACAGTAAATGTGCGGCTTTCAAAAGTAAGATCAAGTAGAATCAGTCAGTAGAAAGAGTTGAGGTTGTGGAAGGTAAACATCAAAGATTTAGTGGTGACACAAAAGAAAAGAGTCTATGTGCTCATACACCTACTATATGGCTATATGCTGTGTGAATCACTTCAATACATAGGAGCACCGCTGACAAGTAGCTGGCTGCACTGTCTCTAAGCTCATCAAGGGATTTGCTGATGACCAGGTTTAAATTAGTAGCCCATGTGGAGTCACAGCAAACACTGCACCGCCAGTCTTCTTGGAATATGACAGAGTCTATTATACCTATAAATGCACAGAAATAGTAAATAATGTAGCTAATGTGGCAATGAGTGGCAAGTGGATCTAACAAATCACAGTGAGGGGTAAACTTTCAGAAACAGCTGACTGCTTTAGTTACCTAGACTAATAACTAAGAAAACATGAATCCTGATAAAACTCAAAATTGCGGTCTGAAAATTGTGCATTCATACTTACTCCATACAGCTGTATAACAACTCACCCATGCCAATGTCAAAACTACTATTTTCTGCACTTACCCCACCTGTTGTATGTACCTAAATATATATTCACCCTTTTTTCTATCTTTTGCTATAGTAATTATTTAGAATTGTAAGACATTTTTATATTTGCTACTGTGTGCTACAGTATCTAGTTGAAGAGTACTGAGATAGTCCATCAAAAATAGAATCAGACTTCACAGACTACGCTTCAGCACCATGTTATCAGTGACGGCATCTGCAGAGGTGTGAGCAGATGTGGAAGTTTACCAAAGTAGCCTATTACAACAAAGCACTGAAACATGATCACTTGACCACAATCCTATTTACACAAATGAATAAATGAAATGCCACTAAACTTAAAGCAATATTAACCCTTTGTCTTATGCACCAAGATTTTGCTTTATGCTTTTTTCTGATCAATGTTGTTTCCTCCTCATCAAAACATACCTAGAGTTTTATTTTGTTTCATTCATGTTTAACATACATAAACATATTTAGGCTGAGTTCTTCTCTCAAATTGAAAACATTTTGTTTTACCTTAAGATATCGTGTAGTAACAGAGGAAGTGCTCCACTGTGTTTTTTAACTCCATACACTCCATTCACTAGAATCATTTGGATGATTTCAGCTCAGGAAAAGCCATTTTCTACTGAACTTAAGGTAAATGGTAGCTGTCAACTTGAAAACTACCACTACATGATATCACAAGGTGGAAGAGAGTGTTTTTGAGCTGTAGACAGACTAATAATAAAAGATTACTAAAATGTGTGAATTAATCAAAACACATCTCTGGGTATGTTTTGATGAGATAACAACATTATAACATAAAAAATAGTACATTAAAAAAAAAATTACATAAAAAATATTACATAAAAAATACATTTTATGTAATATAGAACCTTTAATAATGTTTTTGTTTATTGGCCCAGTTTTGGATGATACCAACTCAAAGATTTATATCTGCATTTGCTGCTGAAAGTAAAATGTAAAAAACTTATGCTGTATTCCTTTTTTGTTGTATTAAATCATACTTAATTAAACCAAGACAAATACCTTTTTATTTTGATAAGTAAAGTAAGACATGTGTGATTTAGTTTGAAATTCAGTTAATGTGTGAAAAAGCATATTGAATTTTTGCAATATTGTTATCATGCTACAAAACATAGTTATTAAATACTGAATATTAAAAAACGAATAATAATAACTTAATTAATAAGGCTGATTGAAATAAAACCTGTCTACATTACTCACCATCAGCCTGTTCCCTAGTCAAAAAACAAGACCAATTCTATTTTTAGAGAACAATAAGATCAGACTGGTCAGAACAGAACCGTAGGATAACCTATGAGTATAGTCTATTATGAACCAAGGACACCACCTATTCAGTCCTTATTGACATCTCTTTGTTGAGAACTCCAGAAAATCAATATATAACCCTACAATGGAAACAAAAGCAGACTTGGATCAGTCAATAATACTACCATGTGTTGAGTGTCCACATCTTCAGATCTCATCGAGGACAAGGTTCATTTTTATCACAGTCTTCTTATTGATTGAAATGGCCTGCACATACATAGCTAAAAGATGCAAACTGCTGCCGTACTGTAGCACTTTACTTTAACCTACTAATGACAAACAATACTACATGCTACTACCAATGCATACACAAGAAACAGCCAAAAAATATTTGCGCATGTCACAACTGCTCAGACCACGCTGTAAGGGCTATTTTTGAGGATGTACCCTGGCTTGCAACCAAAACTCGATTATGCTGCCAAATGTTTATATTTGTCATGCCAAAAAAAGAACAATCACAAAAAGTGCTTTCTAACACAAATCAGGATGAATACAAAATGCACTGGCTCTTGTACAAATAAAAAGAGTTTTGAAATTTTGGGGAAAAAATTAAAATATTATTTTTCTTGAGTCAAGCAATAACATGTTTATTCCAGTGGAAGTCATTTATGAATAAATCAACAGCATTCTTTGGCTGAAGTGTCTACATGCAAAAATACAATAATGATTTTAAAGTTTAAAGAGAGACTGAGTGTTTTGGAGGAGGGGTGGCCACCTGCTTGTCTGCATACAGATGGTATCACTTTGCCTGGAATGCTCCACAGTATGGCATTAAACTTATTCATCTCCATGGAGACAAGCAGGTGACACCCCCAGGCCACGTCAGATCTGTGGAGAGGCAACCCTGCTCGTACTAAGAATGCATTTTTGTGTAGCAAAACAAAAACTAAATCAAATCAAACTAATTCAAGCTAGCTAAATTGAATTCCATACTGTGGAAAATTACTGACAAAGCAATAAGATCTCTATGGAGACAAGCAGCTGGTGGACAACCCACCAAAAAGGTACATAGTGCTGCTTTAGTAGTAGAAAAGAGGAGCAGTAAGAGTAGTAGTAAATAGCAGTAGTAAGAGTGGTAGAAAGAGTGTACATGAACACATGAAAAGTATGATTTATACCCTGTGTTACTTTTTGGACATTTCATGTGCTTGACAAATTAGGCAGATGGCTTTGTCCAACTGTTAGCCAGTTTGTTTTTCTTTCTAGCTGGAGAGGAAATGCCCATAATGAACAGCTAAGTATTGTTGATGTTGAATATTAAACATCCATTTGTAGGATTCATCTAAAATCTTGGCAGCATCCCATACTCTGAATGGCAGCTACTGTCAGTGAGAACTCAAAGACTTAAAGTTCACCTGCAACCTATGACATAACACGGGTGATGCAAGGTACCATGAGGTCAGACAATATATATATATATATATATCACAAAAGAAAACTTTGACCTCTGCTTACATAGTATTTTGGTCTACAATTTTTTTTTATTCATTAGTTATAATATGGTGTATTATGATGCCACATGTTTATGTTAAGAGTTCATTTACTTTTTACAGCATTCAACTTTATTTCTGACGAAAATTTCATAAAAAAGCTTTCCACCTGTGTGGAGTAAGAGTGAATTTTTTAAAACATGGAGGTGGCATATCTACTTATTGTGCATGTTGTTTTAAACGCAAAAGTTGGATTGAATAGTTTTCTGTTATCAGATGGACTGTTGTCTTTAAAAATTGCAGCCTTTGGGCGCAATTAGCAAATCTCAAAGGCTGCAATTCATATTTCAGTCTCTGTCTATTCCTCTTGATTAAGAAAAAATTTAAATGTGAACTTTTAGCAGAATCATAAATTGCAAATCTAATCATAATCGCAATGTTTGCCAGAAAAGTTGATATTTTTCCCAAATTGTTTAGCCCTACTTAACATATAAATATTACTTCTCCATGACTCACTTCTGACATTCCAAATTTCAAAATAATGTATCTACAGAAACACAGATGCAAAAATGGTTGATGAAAACATGTGAAAGTGATGGATCATAATAAGACATAATTAGCACATTAGACACATTAGCCTAAACTCACCTCACTCTTGTCTTTGGGGCGTGAGGAGCTTTTGCCAGTGCTGCCGTTGTCCCTGGCTGGTACCACGGTAATCTGTTGTACTGGCATGCTGCTGTTCCCAGGCAACCCCCGGAGTCAGTCCCTCATCACTGTCCTCCACTCCTCTCTCCGCTGTCCCCGAAGTGCGCTCTCCCCGGCTTCACGCTCCGTCCGCTGCACTGATCGCGATCATCAACAAGAGCCCAGATGGATGTGGATCGGGTCACCGTGGCAACAGGAAGATGGGGTGTGAGGTAGTCATGGCGACTGGGAAACTACTCAATCTACTCCCGCTGCCTCCTTTTGCAACAGAGACACACTCGGAGGAAGATTTGGGATGAAAATTGGAGTGAAAAACAAACAGTGCCGTATGCTAGTGATGTGTTGCTAGCGTGTGAAGATGTTGCGTGTTGTGTTATGTGCTGCTTGAGTGGGTGGAGTCAAGGTTTTTACAGGGTCTGGTGGGGCGTAAGCATACGGTTCACAGGGATTAGGGCTTAGACTAACCTCAATCTCCTCCTTGGACCAATGGTGGGGCTAATAGGCTTTCCCACTTGTGCACTTGAACACCGGTGGATATCATATTGTCATACATATTGCGGTATTATTCAATCTGGGCACATCTAGAGTCAAATTTTAGTAGTACTTTTGTCCACGATGAAGCAAATGACTTGATTTGAGGAGGTAGTGTGGATAATCCGATTAAACTCTGTCTCCTGTCAAAAGGATTATGATAGATATAACCTGTAATTAGAAGATCTGTGACTCTGCTGCGATTGTGTGAGATAATAAAAACAAAAGCAAAGTGCTCGTTGGTATAGCATTGCACATACACCCCATGTCTATAACCTCTCTCTACCTACCTGTTTTATAAAGCCTTAAAAGTACTATGTTTTAATATGTCCTCATCACAAACAGACCTGGAGTTGTGTTTTGTTTCATTCACACATGTTTAACACACAAAGCCTGCATATTTAGGCTGAGTTCTTCTTTGAAACTGGAAAAACTCCTCCTTGTGATGACATGTAGTAGTACAGGAAGTGCTCCACTGTGTTTTTAAACTCCATACACCTTCATTAGGATAATTTGTGTAATTTCAACCCTGGAATTGCCAATCTCTGCTAAACAAAAGGTAAAATGTAGCTGTTAACTTGAAAAGCGCCGCGTCCTGACATCACAAGGTGGAACAGAGTATTTTGAGCTTTGGAGATGTAGACTGACTGACTAATAATAAAAGATTACTGAAACATGTGTAAATGAAACAAAACACACCTCCAGGTAAGTTTTTAATGAAGTAGCAACATTCTGATATGGATTAAAATTTTTCATACAACACTGCACAGTAGTTATATTATTGCATTTGGAAAGATTACAGATAAACATGCTGCCAAAAACACAAGCACAAACAATACTATTTATACTATACTATACTATTTTAGAAGTAGATTTTTTTTTTTTAAAGAACTTGCATTGTCTTTGACTTCCTTTTTTTTGGGTGATGGAAAGTCATATATTGTTTTTGAAAAGTTGTTTATATGAATCACGTTATGCAAAGTTCAATATGTTTTTAAACATATTTTTTATAATATTTGTATGGTAAATAAAGGCTTGATATTTAGTATTAGAAAAGAAGAAAAAGTCTGGAGACTATTTCTAAGAAGGCATTCAGTTACTGCCGCCTCTCTGTCCACTACCAAAAACCACCATCCGGATAATCCTAACTGGCAAAGTGGATGAAGTGTTTTGCCCAAGGACACAACAACAGCACTGAGTCTACTACTATTTTACTTAATATAAAAAAACAAATATTCCCTACTCTCTAGACCACACGTTATAATGATTTGTTTACTTATGCAGGGAACCTCTGCTGTTACACTATAAGCACACCCGCAAGTCACCCATTAATAATTAGGGTTAATTTGATCTTGCTTGAACTTGAGAGGGGAGAGGTAAGGCAGCTCTTCACAGCTCCACTAAAACCTGTTTGTACATGTGGGTGACTGGGTGAGCATTTAGATTACTGTGGGGACTAACATCTGGCCACACTCACTCACATCATGGGGACCTGCCTCCCTTATGAGGACAAAAATCAGGTCCCCTTTGTAAAACGTTTATAATAGACCAACATGGTTTAAAGTTACAGTTGGAGTACGTAATTTTCAAACCGTGGAAGAAGGAAGTAGGTATTTACAGAAGTTAATTCATAACATGTAAGTTAGGTATTTCTGCTTTAAAGCACACATGACATGTTTTGATGATTCACTCACTTCTACTTAATTTGGTGGAATAATACCTGTTGTAAAACATAAACTATAGTTATACAGGATCAAGAAGCAAAATATGTAGAAAATGACAGGATGTGGAGAGTTCTGTTTTAGAGAATATTGTCTATATTGTCAAATTATAACTTCAGTGACATTAGAGGAGTTTTGCCCCTGTGTATAATAATGGTTGCTACGTAACAGTTATGGAAGTACCTAGTGCAATGTCATGATTTCCAAGCAGGAAGTAAAATTTGAAATGTAAAAAATGGACAAAAATTGAAAAAAAAATTGTAAACTGTTTAGAAAAATCTTAAATGTAATAATCTTATATAGAATGTAATATAATGATATTTGTGTTTTGGTAAAATAACTAATCCATGCTGTCATTAGCACTGTTTTCTGTTTAGATTAAGATAAAGCAAGTGGTGAAGTGGTGACAAGGTTTAAGGTTAGGCTCAGTCTGATTGCATATAAATCCAATACTCAAAACAATGTGTGTGTGTGAGCGTGAGGGTGAGCGAGAGAGAGAGAGAGAGAGACTAGGACGCAAAGGGGAGGTGTCATGGTTTACAAAGCCACAGGTCATGTAGGACACGGCATTTGCAGAGCTTTCACACATTGAGTTGTATGGGAGTTTGGAGTCACCTGACTGGGCAGATCAGCACATGGCATCCCCCTTCACGGAGCTGGAGATCTGTGCTGTCCTGTTCTCTCTGTTGGTGTTCGGCCTCATCACTCTGAGCGGGATGCTGAGGGAGGAGTGGGCACAGTACCAGGGTACGACTACATCTGCATACAATAGAAATGACACATAAGGCACAAATTTGGGAGTCACACTGTGAAAACTTTCTATCCATACTTTATATGTGTTAAAATGTATTGTTTTCATGTGATCAGACTTGTTTTGAATAGGTTTGTATTTTAATCCATAGGATTTTTTTAGTCATGTTTAAATTGTTATGAACTGGTTTAAACATATTTTCCTGATTATATATACATATACATATACATATATATATATATATATATATATATATATATATATATATATATATATATATATATACACACACACACACACACATATATACATACACACATCACACACACACACACACGTATATATTTATATACCTACATGGACAGTTAACTTAGCTTGAAACAAGAAAACAAATGCTGAAACCAGTCAAAAATGCCTTGAAATAAGTCCAAAGCTCCATACTAATGCACATACAAATTCTGAACAAGGAGGGCAATATTGAAAAACTTATAATTTCTCAACATTTTCAGTTACAAAATTCAGACAGTAATTCAGGTAAGAATGACTGTAAAAACTCTCAGCAAAAGTACAGTGTTAGTCACTTTACACTGTTATATTTCAAATAATGGTATGTGTGTTTTTTTACATGTATGTTTTTTCTTTCTTTATAAACAATATTCTGAGTGTGTTTTCAAAACAATAATAACAACATCAACACTATTTCCAGGCTCATCACCAAAATAATTATTCAGAATTCACTCAAATATTAAATCAATACAGAAATATAAAATCCCTGCAGAACAAAAAAGTTCTAGTACAACTAAAATACATTTTATATTAAAATCTGAGCATAAGTTGAATACAAAGGTTGAAATTATAATGTTAATCAGTGTTAATCATTGTAAGTACCACAAACACAAATATTTGACGCTGTCTCAAAATCAATGATCTCTAATCAATTCTGCAGAGACTATACAATACATAGACATCTGTTCTTTTGGCAAATGACAGACTTTTTACACACTTGATAGTGTGCTCAGACTTTAAGAATATTTAATAAGTGAAGTGATAAGTGACATGCTAGTTTTTGTTCCTCTTGTGTCATAGCTGTGGTCAATGCTCATTTTTCACTTACTTATTCATTCTTCTTTTAAAGCACCACTAACTGAACCACAGAAGGAGGAGCTGATCGTCTGAGCAAAGAACACAAACCAAATACGTGGAAATCGCACGGACAATGGACACTGATATTTATTTCAGAATTAGTGTGTGGAAATAGTTACGAGCCTAAAGAGACTGTAGGTGACTGGTGTTATCAGTTACCAGAGCAAAGTCTGCGTGCGAGTGCTGAAATGCGCATGTGTGTGGCCCTGTGTACTTTGTCATAGGATCCTGTTCTATTTGATTCCAGGATGAGGCGGAGCAGTGGCTTTAAACGCTCAATAAAACCTGTTTATCCTTCCATTAAGTCAAAATGACCCTCTCTCTCCATGTGATTTGTGAATGTCTTTAGCCGAGGATATCCACTGTCATTTTTGAGTGCAATCGACATCTGTTGTCTGCCGGTGAGTTCATTCTAAGTTTGTCTGTTTCCCAATGGGTGACGTAGATTTGAAGGTATGTGAAGTGGTTAAACAGGCACAGGAGTTATTCCAACGTGTCAGCAGCCCAGGGGTGAAACTGTATTTGGGCTGTCAGAGAAGATGTTACGTGAACAAGCTACTTGGTACATGCTAATATGACAGAAACAATATCGCATTTATAATTATTCAGTAAATCATTCATTAACTTGTTCATTCATTAATTTATTTTGGATAGAGGAGGTATAGTAAAGAATGAAAAAAAGAGGAAAAACTGGCAAATCAAACCCAGGACACCATCACTTGTGGCATGAGCTGTACCAGGTAAGCCATGAACAGGAATTATAGTCCAAACATTTTAATTGTGGTTTTTCACTAGGGGCTTATTTGGAATAAATATAAGTCAATGTTTTAAGTGTAATCAGGCTTAGGGGACATTGCGTAAGTACTTCAGGTAGAGTCTTCCACCTGCTTGTCTCACTTGGCATGTTATTGCTTGTTCTAGATGAGACTACATGGCATTGTACTTATCTACACTGAGGCAAGCAAGTAATACCAACAGGCCAAGTTATAGGTCATATCTGTGGAGAGGCGAGCCTGCTCACAGTAACAATGCATGCTTGTCCATTTTTCATGAACAATAAAAATACACATTTGAAAATATATACAAGATACATGTGTTAATGCCATACTGTGGAACATTCCAGGTAAAGCAATAACATTTTCATTGACTAGTAAGTAGCAGATCAGTTTTGTAATGTATCATTAAAAAGTAGCTAAATGCCAGGAATTATCAAGGCACGTTTAACTTCACATAATGAAGGGAGGCACAGCACCATCTAGTGGACTCTTGAGGCCACACCAAAACTTTGGACAAAATGGGCTGAATCAACATTTACTAGAATATACTGAGGTTGCATAGATTTGACTTTGTTACGTGAAATGACATGTGAAACAATATTCTCATTTATATTTAAAAATTCTAATGAATGTAAGTGTAATTCATTCTACAGTACTTTATGTAACTTTTCTGGTAGACAGTTTTCTACCTGCCTGTACAGTGGAGATTGTTTCATCTGCAATGCTCCACGGTGTTAAATTAAAGGGGACATTTTATGTAAACAAATACATTTATGAGATAGCTTTTAACCATGTTATGATGGTGTTCACATTTCAATCTTTATAGAAACAAGTAGGAAACACTACCAGGATAATGTACAATTGAGATCTGTGAAGGGGCGCCCCACTCACCATAAGAATGCACTGCATTCTTATGGTGAGTAGGGTCCCTTCAGTCTCCACAGATCTGACCTGTAACTTAACTTAGTCCTACTGTGGAGCATTCCACTCTCTATGCACACTCTCTCTCTCTATGCAGTACACCTTTAAGAAACAGGTTTTGTGTATATTTCTAAGTACAGTACTCATAAAAAACATCAGCTGTATTAGCAGCTCAAATCTTGGTGGTGCAACAAAGAAAAAGTTCACCCCTTGTGCAGAAAAAAATCTATGTGTGATAAATGTTGTTCTATCAATCACTTAGTGAACAATAATTTTTATACTGACAGGCCTTTTTTCTATATGACGCATATAGATTTCAATACAATTTAATTGTATACAAGACAATAGGCTTAAATATCAATTTAATAACACTAATTAAAACATTCAATAACTGTGGAACATTTCAGACAATGCAATAAGCTCTCTGTGCAGTGCACTTTCAAGAAACAGTTAAATGAGAGGGCTT